ACAGTATATTTTATTTCTGATAAATCCTTTCTTTATGTATAATAAGCATAGTATAATTTTTCCATTTCTTTTCTCAAAATCATGTTAAGTTCAAATTAAATTTCTCCTCCTAGTAAAGACTCTTTAAAAATGTCTAAACAAAGCAAATGTAGCCATACTAATTAAAATAAATCCATAAGTATCATTTTCTAGGTATAAATTACAAAGGCTAGGTTATTCTCAAAACACCTGATTTTAAAATCACCTTTTAAGAGACATTTTTGCACGCACAGTTATTGTGCACCATTTTAGAACATTTAGCCAACAGTCAATGCTGTAACACAATGCTGAATAGAATCCTATTTTCTAATATTCAAAAGAGCAATTAAGTTAACCTCATACTAAATTATAGTTTATTCTTCATATTTCTGCACACTACCTTTTTACTACAGATCACGTTAGCATTCAGTAAGATTTTAACAATGGTCTTTCCACTATGTTACAGCCATTATTTCAAGTAATCTATCTCGAAAAGAACAATCGTTACACTAATTCATAAAGGGTTAATTCATTTTTCAATTTATCTTCTTGTACAGGGAAGCACCAATTAGTACAATGATCTGCCTTAGTAATGAGGTTAATATTTCACCAGCTCATTGGACAGTAAAATTAAATTTTCATTTTTCTTCCTGAAAAATTACAAAGGTTAACAAAATGAAAGTTAACTGTGAAGCACCCATTCTGGGAGGAATTTCCCTGGCCCTGACTGCACCTGGAGTCACAGGATAAAATTTAGATGCTGGTCCATGGCCTCCCCACTACGCAGGCGACACAGTAACTTAGTGCAGCTTGGGCCAAATAATTTCACCCATAATGATTCAATTAAAGTTTAAAAGGTAAAAATAAAATGGCCACTCACTTCTCTGGCTGAGAGCAATGATTAACATGTACTAAAACCCAGAACATATACCAATACAGCTTATTAAAAGAAAATGACAGATTTACAATTATGCAACAGAGAACCACCAGAAATCTCTTTGTCCCTACTACTTTCAAGTAGAACGAATAATAAAATGTTCTGTTATATACCTACCATTATTAAAGACAATATATAAAACATTCTTTCAGACTTTAACCATCACCTTATTTAAGTACATCTGAGTTCCATATTTAACACAGGCTACATTTCATAATTTTCTTTTATGACTTGCAGATTTTATCTTACTCATCTAAAACATGTAGCTGAGGTTTTTCATGTGACAAATATAATGAAAATTTTCATGTATGAAAAATGTGTTGGTTTCTTTACCAGACAATAAGGCTGACTTAAGGCTATTCCTTTAGGGAATTTAGTTAATATTCTAAATCCTATTTGCTAACAGAAGCTGAAAGTTAATTGAATATTCTCATTTTGTCTAGAGTTCTGACAGATCTTATACCTCAATGTATTCTTCAAAGAGCAGATAACTCAATCTTCTATTGTCATCTTAGGTTACTTCATGATGCTCTGATAAATATCAAATGTTATTTATTGTTGAGGCAATATGAAACTTCACTCTGACACACACTTAATTGTAAATGTGATTTTATCTAAGTTCAAAATATCCAGTATATGCTTGGTAATAAAGTTGTTGCAATCCTATACGACAAGTGTCTGCTGTCTGCTCTGACAAAATGAAGTAAACATTATGTGTATTCAAAATGACAACAGATATCTCTGTGTCTCACACTTTTCAGCTAGGTCAAGGAGCACAAGAACTAGTACGTCAAAGTGCACATTTGAGAGAGCTGTTTCGAGGAGATAAAAACCCCATCAAAACTAAGATTACCGGTTCCTATTTCTAGCCACCAGGTGCTTGTTGACATTTTCTGACAGATGAATAAATTGATATAGCTATTTATTATCATCAATACTAAGTCAGTCTATCTTAATCCTAATGTTAGGTCTTGAGCATTAAAACATGTAGAAATGTATGTTTGTGTATATATACTTACACATACACAAAGGTATGCAAGCACAGACAGGTTTGGAAATAATAAAAAAAGTGATGCTGAAATGTATAAAACACCACAAAAATGCAAAACCATATTTGATAAAATCATGTCAAAAATTACTTTTTTAGCTTTACTCCATCACTTTTGCATGAAAATTTTTTAATAGGAACAAAATTAATCCTGAAGAAATAATCAAAAACCTGTTAAAGGAACACATTTTAAAAATAGCTTTTTTGTATATTTGCATCATTTTCAAGCAATGTAATTTAAATTGTATACCGCAACACTCAATGATGAAAAAAGCAATCAAATGTTGACTCCTTTTAGGAGTAAGAATTATAGACATTAAAGAGTTATGGGATCCAGCTGCTGTGTTACATCTTCCAAAACTTAAAAAGAATAGACATTTTAAACACAATCTTACTGTCAATAGTTAATGATTCTGAACTAGCAGGAAACACATGTAATATCATATTTCAATACATAAATTACAGCAAGTAAATGTTCTAAAGTGCTCCAAAATGCAAAATGTTCTAACAAAATTACCTTAAAATACTAATTCTGTTTAACAAAACATTTCTATTTCTTATTTTTCATGAAGTGCCTTAAGTGTGTAGTTTTTCTTTCTTACTGAACTCATATATACTGCTGATAAAATCCAACAAAAATAATTACTAATGTGATTTGCATTACTATTTGCAATAAATCAGAAAAGTTCTTTGTGAAGCTAAACTGCCATATCAGTTTAGACATTCTGATTAAGGGATTTCTTCAAGCTGTAAATGTTTTCATTAATTTCAGTGAGGAGATGAGAAATTAAACCCATTCCTTGTGTTTGACATTTACCAAAGCTTTTAAAAACTGGTTTTGAAATACCTTCAATGTAAATTTCTTTCTTGGAAGAAAAAGATCTTTATTGTATGGGGTTACAGTCTAGGTGATAACTGAGTAAAAACAGAGAAGCAGAAATGTGCCAACTCTCAGGCTTACCTCAAACTCAGCGTGCTTGTGGACATCTTCAGCTCTTTGTCGGTTCAAAATAAATTCTGCTTCATTTGCGACACGCACTATATGGTCTTTCATTGCATGACATAGTAATCTAAAATAAGAAAAATCAAAATCAACCTTTGTATTTGATATACTTCAAATAAGCTATTTCAGCAGATTTACTTAAGATGGAAAAAATTAAATTTAATGAAACTACTGTAATGCAATTACCAAATTAGTTGACATGAAAAATTAAATTTTATCCAAAATTTTCTGCACTTGTGAAAGCAGAAACAAATCATGTTATATGGAAAAAGCTTGCTATTTATTATTGAAGGGAAAAGTTCTTTATGGAAGTATTATATTTCTAGTATGTTTTTAACAGCAGTCTCAATACGAATATGAATACTATCATTAAAAAAATAATCTAGGCAACTGCTTAAACTCTTATTGATACCATTATATCATTAAATATAAACATTCCCATTTCAAAGTCTTAAAAAATGATGAGATTCCTGAAGATTTAAAATTCTATTAGAATTGCAAAATAATATAAATATCTCTTTTATATGTTTTTCAAACACTGGAGTGAAAAGTGCATCATGTTTCCAAGTTTTCATGGCATCAGAACTAGGCAAACCGTACTTTAAAAGAAGGAAAAAATAGCTTAAGATTGGACTGAGACTGAGGATGTCAATCAGACACCTTAAATTAAGACTCTTGTAAAGACCACCAAATACCATGAGATGCATAATAAAAGTGCAGCATAAACAACACAGTGTTGTTAATAACACTGATATCTTATTGGGCAGGAAGAATGGAAGTAACTGCTTTCTCATCCCTACAGTCCATATCTAAGCTTGCCCATTCTATTCAAAATTGCTTTGCTCTTCTTATCAGCAGGGAGGAAATATCTTTTAGGATGCAAAGATCTGACAAGTCTGTTTAGGATCAGGAAGAACTGTTTCTCTTTGTGTCAAATTGGCACACGGTCTGCGATTTTCCTTCTTGTACCATCAGGGAAACACACTCAATTTCAGAGATTCTTATATTAAGAATGTAAAATTTCTAGCAAATTCCACCCTAAGGTTAGTGTCTGGTGCTTAGAAGCACCACAAATGGAAGCCATGATTATTAGAAATGAAAGCCATGATTACTAGACCTTGTATCTATAAGATAGAAAGATCTGAACTCTATTCTTTCCTCCTTTGGTGTGTTCTACCATCTGTGAAGGAAGGAAATCACTTACCCTGAGCTAATGTTTAATAAGGGTGTGTGGCATGGGAAGACATAAATGCTGGGGCCTCTGTTTAGAGATAAAGACAAACTAGCTTGGAAAATAGTAGAAGTGAATGTTTAACATCTCCAACCAAATTTTGCATCACAGGTCTTCCTGAACTTTTCCATATGACATTAATGACCTGGAACTAACTAGCTAGGATTTCAAAACTGAACACACAGATTTCAGTTGTCTACTAGCTGTACATCCCTTCCTGAATGAATAAACGGAGCACAGTGCAAATTCAGTATCTTTGAGTCAGCTGTGGTCCAGGCAGGATTTCTAGTTCTAAATGGCTTTAGGTGAAATCAATAGGTTTCTTAGATATTGCCTGCCACCAAGAATTTGGTGAGAAAAGATCGAGACTAACTTTGATCTACTGGGTTTATTATTTGGGACATCTGGGCATAGTTTTTATACCTCAAAAAACAATCTAAGCTGCCTCTGTTCATGAGCAATGATAAATACACACCATCTTTATCTTAGTCGTATTTATTTGTATTAAGAAGTGTTCACATTCTCTGTGCCCATTTATGCACTAAAACAGCTACAAGGGACTTCAAATGGATTCCCAGAGAATGTTAATTTCCACAAGTTATAAATAAATCTCTTGCCAATACTCAGGGAAAAGATATTAAAAAAAAAAAAAAAGGAAAAAAAAAGATCTATCGACACTAGTCTCTGGTTGCTTTACAGAAAATGAAAACTTTTATAGACATGCAGCAGATGATTCAAATCAGCTGGCTGAAACTGGTGGTGACCCCAGCTGTACCTCCCACCCCCCTAATGGACCTTTCTTCTCCACAGACTGAGACACCTGGTGCATTTGGGAACAGCTTCAGAGTTGCTGCAGCTTTTGGACAGCACGTCAGGCAAACTAAGCCAGATTTCAGGTAACCTCGAAATGCCACAGGTCTTCAGGGTCCAAAGTCAAGGAGATGACAAATAAGAGGGGACCAAGGAACATGCCTGAGCTCTGGGTCCTGCCTGCCTACAGCACTCAAATCATTAGCTTGGCCTCCACTCATTTTTTTGCTCATTCTAACTTCCATCCAGGAAATATATAGGCATGGTCCAAGGGACAGTTCACTGAAGACACATCCATGAGACTGAATCAACTTAAACTCTCTCCAATGCTACCCAAGAAAGTTCTGCAGGTGTTTTCACGCCATACCCCAGCACACATAGAACACATCATTCTAGTGGGTAGCCCTCATGTTATTCCAAACAATCTGAACTAAACAGACAAAATAGTAACGATATCTTAAGGTGAAACAGTAACCGTACAGGCTTCAGGGAAGAGCTGGACTAAGTGCTATGTAGGATGAATGATGACACTCTGCTCTAGCATGTGCTAAACTTAAGCAGTATGAACATAGGCCAGTTCAGGCTATTTGATTTTATTTAAAACTACAGACATACCTGCTCTCTTCCTTTTTGTTTGTTGTCAAAAATCTTATCTATGGAATATCTCAGTATTATTTCAATTGTGTCTAGCCAGTTGTTTCATGCACTCTCGTATCTCTATCACTGATTGCGATTTCTTCAAGAAAAAGATGAAAAATTGTATGGTGGTACATACCATAATTGGGATTATGACAAAAGTGAGGCCACAACCTATCAACACTATATAATCATTAAATAATATTGTATCAATGTGTGCTAATAAGGGACATATTGTGATTCACTTACCTTAGGTGCTTGTATGCACCTAAGATAGAACTTCAAAGACTAAGTAAACTATGCTTTTGCATCTAGAAGACCATTAAGAATTACACTAGTCTTAAAATCCCTTGCCAGAAAGACAGACTTTTGAAAAAGAGAAGGGTTAAAATCTAGGCCATCATTTAGAAATCTTGCATGCCTCCAAAAGAAGTCTTAGCCTGGATGTTTTGATTTGTAAGTGCAAGAACGTAGGGCAGAAAACAGAAGCATAGTAAGTTAAAGTGGTTAAATGTGTCATCTTAGCTTTGAAAGGAAAGGCAGCTACTACAAGGACAGGGAAGCAATGCCTTACAGAGGAAGGAACTTGCTTATGTGCTTGCTGTACTTGTTCAAGGAAACTTGTTACTTTCTGAAATTTAAAAACACTACTTAAAAATAATTTTTGTGGTACTGATTTTTACTCCTAACAGGAAGTTATCCTGTATTCTCAAACTATATTTCTACTAAGCAAAAGATGGCAGAAGTGTTATTACTGTTATATCTGGATTAAATAATAGACAGCTAACTCTGAATCTCAAATTCATATAGACACACCACAACTCAGCATACCGTCCTAACTGGGTTACACCTGATGAACATGCATGGTAATGTCATCATCCTTTTAATACTTTCCAGTTTATCTAAATCCTTATTAACTCATTCACATGCGTGGCATAAGATTAAAAAAAAAAAGAAACCTCATGCTTTTCTGGCACGAGTAAAAGTGCTTCCAACTTTTGGATTCTCATAGAAAAAAACAATAGAAATTATTCAGAAGGAATCCCAAACCAGGAAAGATCTCATACTCAGTAGTATCAAAGGCTGCCAATACATCAAAAAAAATCTCCATTCACACACTGCAAATAAGAGAAAGGAACAAGGACCTCTAGGTCAGCAAATTCACTCCTTCACTGCAACAGGCAGCTATGTTATACAAACTCTTTCATAAACCATCTTTAGTTTATGAAAGGCATTTTCATGAAATCTAGCTCATGAAATATGTCTTCAGTTTATGAAAATGTGATCACGTTGCTTGCTTCCAGCACAGCTTTGGAAGGTCCTCTGAAGGCTAAAACCCTTTTACTTTCCAATCCAAATGTATTCTTCAGCAGTCCTTACTGTTTCATTTTATGCAAATGTTGTCCTTAGGTTTACACAACTCGTCTTCCTTCTGTTGACCTTCTGATATTCCACCTATCCCTATTTTACTAGGCTAAGTAAATCAGCTCTCTGACCTTTCTTGTATGGCGAAACAGTTAGTAAAAGAGATTGCCTTTTGGGTTTTTACTAATTTCATACACTGATTTCACCTTTTGTCTTGGTTTGGGCAGGGACAGAGTTAATTTCCTTCCTAGTAGCTGGTACAGTGCTGTGTTTTGGATTTAGCATGAGAATAATGTTGATAACACACCGATGTTTTAGTTGTTGCTAAGTAGTGCTTACACTAGTCAAGGACTTTTCATCTTCTCGTGCTCTACCGACTGAGAATGCTGGAGGTGCACAAGAAGCTGGGAAGGGGCACAGCCAGGACAGCTGACCCCAAATGGCCAAAGGGATATTCCATACCATGTGACATATACTCAGTACATAAACTGGGGAAAGCTGGCTGGGGGGGCCGCTGCTTGGGGACTGGCTGGGCATTGGTCGGCGGGTGGTGAGCAATTGCATTGTGCATCACTTGTTTTGTATATTATTATTAATTATAATTTTATTTCAATTATTAAACTGTTTTTATCCCAACCCACAAGTTTTCTCACTTTCACTTTTCCGATTCTCTCTCCCATCGCCCTGGGGCAGGGGAGTGAGTGAGCAGCTATGTGGTGCTCAGTTGTCGACTGAGGTTAAACCACGACACCTTTTCTACAAGTGCATAGCTAAAACTATCAGCAGTATTCTAGACAAGTTCCAGTCACTATTTACATAGTAACATTAATGCTGCCTTATTTCAATGGAAATACCTTTTCTGATGCAATTCTAGAATTGTGTTTTCCTTTTTCTTAGCACTATATTCTATGATTTTGCACAAGAAAATTTCAGTGATAGTTTGGTCTTTTACCTCCTCAGACATTTCCAAGAGATGAACCAACAGTCTCTAGAATATATTCTCAAGAACATGAACTCCATGTACT